ACTGCACTCCAGTCTGGGTGACAGAGTGAGACTCCAACTCAAAAAAAAAACAAACAAAACCTTTCCCAGGACTCTACACTAACATCCCTCCTACAATCTAGAACGTGCCATCTCACCCCATCTCATCCCTCCTGGCTTCGAGGTGCCTCCCCACGCCCCAGGGGCCTTCACATCCAGCCCTGCCCCTCCCCCTTTCCTTCAGTCTTGCTCTACACACACCTCTGCCAGAACGGTTTCCAGAACTAAGTGCCCCCGACAGCAAGGGCTGAATCCTGTCTGGATCATCACCAAGTATCCTGACCCTCGCCTCTGCCGGGGACCTGGCTGAGGGTGTATGCGTGGGAGAGGGTGAGAAAGAGAAAGGGAATACACTGTTGCCTGTGCTCTGTCACCCAGGAGTTCCTTCAGGGCAGCGTCCTGGGCCCTCACTTGCCCATGGCCAAGCAGAGAGTGAAGACACTGCTCATAGAAGGAAACTTATGAATAAGCAGCAGTAAAGGGTAGAGAGGATTCCCGAAGTCAGTGAAGGAGAAAAGAAGAACATGGGGAAGGCTACCTGCTCTCTTCAAGCTGTGCACACACATAAGGCAGATGATGACCATTTGAAAGACGAGAAGGTCCGGGAGGAAAGCATAGCCACTCTCATACTCCTCTTCGTCCTCACTGGCCAGGCTGAGGTTAGGTGATGAGGGCAGGTAGAAGAGGCAGAGGTTGAAGTCCTCCAGGACTGACTGGCAAAGTGAGGTCAGCTCTGAGTCCATGGAGCTGTGGAAGGGCAGAAGTTACATGGCAGGTCAGTGGCGGGGCTGGAGGAGAACAGTGGGGAATACAAGATTCAGAGGGAGGACAACGGGATCTCGTGGGCAGACCTCATGGAGCACAGCCAGGGAGGGCATTGCTGGGCTCATCTCCACGTAGACAGCCCAACACAGAAAAAGAGGTGGGTGGGCTTCTGGTTAGTCACCCCCTCTTCAACGTCTCCTAAGCACCCATTCTGGGCCAGAGGGACAGTCGCTGGGAGAAGGACGGGCACAGACCCCAAGGGCGAAACAGTGAGGTATACCGGATTAACCAGCCAGACAAATTCCAGCTGGGGGCAGAGCTCCAGGCCCCATAAAGGCACCATCACGGCCGGGCTCACAGCCAGTTCCTGTTCCTGCTCTCTTCCACTCACCTGCTTTTGGGCTGCAGGAGGCTTTGCAGATACATGAAGTTCACCAGCAGCCTCTTAATGTCTTTACATCTGAAATGAAAAGAGCCCAGAGTAAATGCTAAAAATCTCCGAGTTCCTGTGGTCTTACTGCACCAATTGCAGAAAGATGCCCTGCTCCCATAGCCCTACTCACCGCTTTTTGCCAGGGGAAAGCTTCCGAGTCTCGCACTTCTTCAGCTGGTGGTACATCTTGGCTGCCTTGTCATAGAGTCGCTTAAGGTTCCCATAGGCCCCCTCAAAGGACACTTCCGACTGGATGCTAAGGGAGATACAGAGCAGCTGAGTGTCAGCACTGGCAGGAGGTGGCAAGGACAAAGGCCGCTCTGCTGGTACTTTAGGAACAATGTTACCAATAATCTGGGCTTCCCCAGGCTCACCTTCTATGTACACACTCAGGTGGAGACACCTGACACAACTTTCAGATTACTCAGAGGAGAGATATCTTAACTCTCATCTGTATCTAGAAAGGAGACAATTAATCCTACTCTGTTGCAAACCTAATTTAGTTGCAATTCCTGAAATGAACTATTGGTCATCTTTTAAGCATATGGTACTTTACAATAGGCAGGCATTTAACAAACATCAACTATACGCAAGGATATTTATAAGCACTATCTCAATTCTCCTAACACTCAAACACAAACATGATCTGAGCAACAAACGTGTCAGGCACTACACCCTGATACTGTCCACACCACAGAAGAAATGGAGCCTGGGAGAGAATAAGTATTTTGACTAAGGTCACACAACTGATACCCAGTAGAGATTGGTCTCCAACCCAACCCTGTCTTACTACACAGAACCAAAGACCTTAATACTGCATGACACCTTGTGCCTTTTTTTTTTCTCTTGGAGATAGGGTCTCGCCAGTCACCCAGGCTGCAGTGGAGTGGTATGATCATAGTTCACTATAACCTCAAACTTCTGGGCTCAAGCGATCCTCCAGTCTCAGTTTCCTGAGTAGTTGGGACTATAGGCATGCACCATGACTCTCGGCTAATTTTTTATAAAGATGGGGTCTTGCTATGTTGTGCATGCTGGTCTTGAACTCCTGGCCTCAAGTGATCCTTCTGCCTCAGCTTCCCAAAGTGCTGAGATCACAGATGTAAGCCGCCATGCCTGAATGTGTCTTTTTTTTTTTTTCTTTGAGTCGGAGTCTCACTCTCACCCAGGCTGGAGTGCAGTGGGCACACTCACGGCCACCACAGCCTCGACCTTCTTGATTCAGGCGATCCTTCCGCCTCAGCCTTCCAAGTAGCTGGAACTACAAGCATGTACCACCATACTTGGCTCATTTTTCTTGATTTATTGTAGAAATGAGGTCTCGCCAAGTTGCCCAAGCTGGTGGATGTGTCTTTTTAAAAACAATTTTTTTTTTTTTTTTTTTTTTTGAGTTGAAGTCTCACTCCGTCGCCCAGACTGGAGTGAAGTGGCCACTCCTGGCCACCGCAGCCTCGACCTGCTGGGCTCTGGCAATCCTTCTGCCTCAATTTTACCGGGCGTGGTGGCTTATGCCTGTCATCCCAGTAGTTTGGGAAGCAGAGGCATGAGGATTGCCTGAGTCCATGGGTTCAAGACCAGACTGGGCAACTTGGTGAGACCTCGTCTTTATAATGAATCAAAAAATTAGCTGGGCGTGGTGGTATGTGCCTATAGTTCCAGCTACTTTTGAAGGCTGAGGTGAAAGAATTGCCTGAGTCCAGCAGGTGGAGGCTGGAGTGTGCCACTGCACTCCAGCCTGGGTGACAGAGTGGGACTCCTACTCAAAAACAAAAAAGTAAAGCCAGGCTCGGTGGCTCAGCCTGTAATCCCGCGCCTTTGGGAGGCTGAGGTGA